AAAAAATTTAGGAACAACTATGAAACCCAAAACAAGAGACACTTCATGCACTGTAATGACTGACTATGCAAAACTGTTCTACAATACTATCAGTTCAAAAGCTCAACTGACTGTATATCATAAGACATAACAAAAACTTCTATTCAAAACGCAACTTAAATTTCCATCTAATGAAGGCCATATGAATTCCCTGTGATTCCTATGAAGTTAAAAATAATATATAATTTGTTCCTCCATGACCTCTTCTTTTGTTTCTTATTTCCCAATATATGCAATATTACTGAATTTCAGACAATAAGATTCAGTGAACGCATCACCCTACATACCCATAATTAAAAAAATTGAGTACCGTATTTTAATACATTCAAATCTGAAATCAAGTTGAAGTTGCTCTTCAACTAAACTATTTTGTCTCTTTAAGTTCATCAAAAGACATCTGTGAAGCCCAATCTAGGCTGTATTTTCTTCACTTTCAAAACAGTAATCACGTGCCTACAGGTTGGCCCAGAAACTACAGACTGTTCTTGTACTTTAAGGCAGATATGGAAAGGCACGGGATACCACACAGCTTTGAACAGAAGAAACAAAACCAGATTGTGAGCCTCGATCTCCACTTGCCCCACACACAGACACTTCCCTGTACTTCAGTACACAGCAAAACTATGAAGTACACAGTCCTTGGATTTGGGATTAGAAGTACCTTCAATGGGCATCAGACTACACAGAAGGTACAGTTTCCCATACACATTGGGAATGATAAGGAAACACAACACAACTTCAGAATCTTCCTACGTTAATAGAAATACCAGGATAAACATTTACACCAGCACTTCTATCGCATATTAATGCTTTCTTGAATGAGAAAAATCGTACTTGGACATCCTGTTTAGTCTGAAAAAAAAAAAAAAAAAGACATCCTTTTGATAGTAACATCTGGTAAGAACAGCTAACTTTTCTGCTGCTCAACCTCATAGCTTGTGAAAAAATGTAATATGCTGGGTAGCAAGTTCCAAACTTAAGTTCCATGGTAAGTAACAGGGAGAAGCAAACAACTAATGCCACCAGAGAAAACATCAGGTATCGAATCACCATCCCAGAACTTTTAACAACCATTTGGATTGGTGCTCAGGGACGTGATGTAGCAGAGGGTTGGTAGAGTCAGGGTACTATGGTTAGGTAGCGGTGAGACTTGATAATCTTCAAGATCTCGTCCAACCTGAGGAATTGTATGACCCTATAATAACAACTCTAAACTTAGCTAGATCATATTTAAAAGCTAAAAGGTGTATTTAGGTCTATGTGTCAGTGGCCTCGACCTTGTAAGCCCATCATTTATTAATCTAGGCAACAAAATGCACTTTACTAAATGGATTTCCCCTGTAATTACCTCTTAAGAAGAAGAAAAGCAGCACCTGTCAATAGTGACACTAGAAAGAGGGAGAAGCAAGTTATTCTAGTCAAAGAGTCAGACGTATCAGCTTAATTTCAACTGACATTTACAGCTACTTCATTAGAAGTCTTCAAAGGAATAAGCACAATAAACATTGTTCCTCCTCCCATTATGTAAGCAAGCAGATAAATGCTGCTTTTGAATACACATTTATGTGCAAATACTGTATTCACGTACTCGCATTCACACACTCTCCCACAAACACATACAAGCACACATAATATACACGAAAACCATAATGAATCAGCAGGATAAACTTAATAGCCATTCAATTTGGCACAGTGTTGAAGACCATCAATGAGTTGCTAGTGCGATAAAAATAACTGAGCTTTTCCAGAAAAAAAGGTTTAGGCAGCATAGCCCGCAATCCTCAGGAAACCTGGACAAATTCTATCAATATGAAGATTGGCTAATACTTGCACCTTCTTTTGGCAATACCAAGGTAAGGATGAAGGCAATTACTCTTCTCAGTAAACTAGGCTGAAAGCACATTCCACATATAACACAACACCTGTCAAGAAGGCTTCTTACAGATGCAATAATCAAATTCCACACTAAATACTACAAACACAGCTGAAAGAAGATGAGTCCCAGTGATGAAGAGCTGGATATAAGCCAGCATTTTGCTCTTGTAGCCCATAAGACCTGCTCTGTCCTGGGCTGTGTCAAAAGCGCTACCGATCTGTAGGGAGAGGAAGGTGATTGTCCCCTTCTAGTCCGCTATTGTGAAGCCCCATTTGGAGTACCATGTCCAGGTCTGCAGCCCCCAACACAAGAAAGACATGGAGGTAGTGGAGCAGGTTCAGATGAAGGCCACAGAAGTGATCAAAAGCCTGGAACATCTTTCTTAAGAATAAAGGCTGAAGGAGCTGGGCTAGTTGAGCTCGGAGAAGAGAAAGCTCTAGGAACATATTACTGCAGCCTTCCAGTACTTAAAGGGTGCTTATAAACAAGAGGGAGAGAGACATTTTACAAGGCAGATCGTGACATTACAAGGGGAAAGGCTTTAATCTAAAAGAGGGGAGATTCAAGTTACACGTAAGGCAGAAATTACTAAAGAAAAGGTGAGGATGCATTGGAACAATCTGCCTAGAGAAGCCATGGATGCCCCATCTCTGAAAGCGTTCAAGGCCAGTTTGACGGGGCCCTGGACAGCCTGATATATCAGGTGACAACCCTGCCCAGAAGTAGAGGGGAGAGCTCAATTACCCATGAAATTAGCCTTCCTATGATTCTATGATTTTTGGACTTGGACTTTTTTTTTTTTTTAAATACAAGTCTAAAGTCAGTTTGTGGGTTAAGGATTGATGCTTTTTTTCCACCCTTTGTTTTGTTTGCTTTGTAAGCTGCAAGCACAGCTTTTGATTAGTAGCAAATATTGAGGGTGTATTAGAAAATTAATTGCTTAACTTGTAAGATATCTTTACACCATAAAAGGTGTCCTCAGTTAATTTAATTTGCAAAACCGCCAAGTGCAGTAAGACCTATCACAAAGTTAATTTTCAAAGAAATCAAATCAATAATGAACTATGGATAAAAATATGCATCCATCAGTATGAAGTTAACCTACTTGACATTTATATTCCTTAAACTGATAGCTGGCACGTGCCTTTCCTATGAATATTGGCAAGTCAGAGGGAAAACATAAGATTTCATTGTCAATACTACAGCAGATTATTTTGACTGGCAAATCAAGCTCTAGACAGGAGCTTTGCTTGTGATACTGCTTTCTTTGACATGCCACATTTTTCTGCCTCAGTGTCCTCACAGAAACACTCCTTTTCCTCATGACATTTTGGGAAACTGAAAAGATTCATCAGCATCTTATGGCTGAAGAAGTGTCAAAGGTAAAAGGTGTTCAGTATCTCCAATTCATCTTAGTGCTCTGCAGAATCAAATTTTAAAATATAGCTCAAACACCAAATACAGAGTGATCTAACGTAGTTTGAGTGTAAAATTTACCTTAAAACTGAAAAGGGAAGAATTACATATACTTAATTGTATTTGTCAGATCATTACTTTATGCCACTGATTTACAGAATAGTAATCACAGTAAGATCTCCACATTTTAAAACGACACTCAAGTTGAGTCAGAGCAAATGAGGAATACCAGAATCAAATTCCAAAGGATTTGGATAATTTAGGTAATGAGGCCAGCAGATGGCAAATGTAGTTCAATGTAGAAAAATGTAAAATAATTGGTCTGGGAATATGTACTAAATAGAACAATCATATGGCATGATTAAGAAACTATTATTTGTGGAGGGGAAGTTAAGCTATTCCAATCTGCATTAAAAAAAAAAAATATCAAAACCATAAAGAAAAATGTTATGACAACATATTAAGAAATAAATGACATAATAAATGATAAAAGGTACTTATTAGATTCTATAACATATAACGTACGTGAATTTCATACTCAAGGGACCCCGGCAGGAACCGGTTTAATTAGGTAACAAGACCAACTAGTGTGAAAATGTAAGAAGTAGAAGCACTCAACACCTTGCAGAATGTGTTTGGCATCACATAGTATCAAATGTAAAGTCAAAAAAGTTCTTTGAAGATCAAGTACAGCAGGATAAAACTACAGCCTTTTGAAGTTTAAAAAAAGAAAAAACAAAAACCCTAGATAAAGTGAAAAAGCCTACCCTACCCAATTAATAGTCAATATCTCAAGAAGAGACTTCTCAGTCACATCATCTGTTGGGTCTCCTGTGTGAGGCCAAAAAGCTAGACCCTCATCTGAATTAGGCACACCAAGGACTCAGGATTTTGGACTCTTCAGACAACAACTCTAATCACATCACCATCAGCTCTTCTAGGGTGATCTTCTAAGTTTGTTCCAAAGCAAAGATCACCTCCCTAATGCACATTACTTCTCCAAAAGTGGAAATTGAATTTTTGTTTAAACAGGGCAAATTCACAACCAGCTGCATTAGTCATATACATCATAGATCATGACAGGACACAAAAATTAAACCTCTGTTCCAAGCACTACATGGTCAAAAAATGTAATACAACAAATGGAAACCGCAACTAAGATAGGGATAATCAAATCAGGTAAGCAGCTGTGTGAAAGCACTGCAGGGTTGTCAGTTTGAGCACAAAACATTAAAAGCTAATACAGTACAAAGATGAAGATGAAAGAATCAAGCTGGAAGAAGAATTGGTGGAACACTGATAGTTAACGATACCTCTGGAGCATCTTATCACATATGGCCACTGACATACTTAGGACCACTTGCACTTCTCATTTTTTACCAGGAAAGATGACATGGAGATGTGAGAACAGTTTTTTTTTTTTTTTTTTTTTTTTTCTTCTCTCAGAGCAACTGACTATTTTTACAAAAGTATTTTTCTACTAGTCAAAAGAAAAATCCACAATTGAAGTCAATCCTATTTGTGGCACTGGATATATTCCTAGGTCTACACAACTTAGCAGATGCCAAGTAGAATCCTAACTTACAAGTTAAAACAAAACAGATACACATAAAGCAACTGCACATGGCAACAAATAAATACCGTCAGAAAACAGTAAAGCATAGCTCACCAATGGTTCTGATGGATTCTTCAGCAATGGAAAAATTCAGTAAAGCACAACCACTCAGTTAAGCAAGGTGTCAATCCAAGAGATCCTATGAGGGAGAGACAAGGTTATTTTAACTACTTATTCGATCCACAGCACATATGAGCATACACAGGATTATTAGGTTACTTTCTTAAGTGTGTTTACTTAAAAGATAACAGCAAAAGAGCTGTAAAAAATAAACAGATGAGAGATTAGGACACCGCTAAATATCAGAAAGCAAATTCCTAATCCTAGGCTATCTTCTAGCCTTATAATAAAACAGGGAAGTTCTTGCTTTACACCATTAATTCTTTTTCATCTTAACCTGCTTACCTTATTTTGTACTAGAGCTATCATATGAAAGTGCTTTGAGTGCTTTTCTCTGATTGTACTGGCAGAGAAATATAAACCATTACCCATCATTACCTTTATTTCAAACCTGTCACTTTTTCCTCTTTGTAGCCAGCAAGCTGCAAGAAGAGGAAAAAAATGCAGTCTGAGAATAAAACCTCCCTTACAAAAATGAGCTGAAAAGAGTGGAACAAAGGAGAGAGAGTTAAGAAAGGAAGAGATCACAGTCTTGATAAACCTGCTCTTCTGCACAAAATACATTCTACTCTCCTTCTATCAAAAAACCACTAAAATGCAACATCCACTGGAGAGCTGGCTTCTGCCCATGGTTCTTTCTCCTGCCATGCCTTCAAGTTCAAATACCTTTATAAATCCACAAGTATTAAGCAAATAGAAGTAATATTGACATCACTGCCCGATGCACAGAAAAACATATGTACATTGAGCTTAAGCACAAGAGAAGACGTGCTTCCCTCAAAACAGTTTTTTACAAGGTACTTTTTAGTAAACCCTTCATGAGCCACACAGTGAGCCATGAGCAATTAATGTTAATTAAGTGCCCCCCTCTAACTATAATGTTGCCAGTGACACACTAATGACCTCAGAATGCACTTGGATTTGAAGTTTTTTCCCCCAAGGTACATGCCAGGCTGCCTTACCTCTATAGAGCTGTGGCACGCTCCAGCTGCTACTGCATATGTATGGAATGCCATTCCAATTTGCAGTAACACACACCATTCACCAAACACTGAAGTAAAGTAACCATTTTACAAGAGCACTGCAGATACAGCTAAAAAATACCAGTAGGATTTGACTTGCCTGCATGAAACCCCACACAAGCAACACGCAACTTATGGCACATAGAATAAGTTGATGATGTTACTGACAGGCAGATTACCACAAATGCAGCCAAGTTAATGCAGCAGAAACACATCCCAGAAGTTTTTCTAAACTGTGTCCTGGGCTAGTAGTGAGTCTGTCTGTTTACTTACCAGTAATTAAAAGCTATACAGAAAGAGTCAGTCTTCCCCAGTTTAACACCAACAGCCTAACATCAGATCTATGGCATTCCACCTCTCCCACTAAGTGCTTTATTAGGAGGCAATAGGAATTGGTTATCCACGTACTCTGCAAGTATAACAGCAGAGGAAATTAAGTACACAGGCACAGCGCAGCATTTACAGTAATTCCTAATTTCACAATTAGATCTCTAGAGACCAAACTGCAAACCATCATCTCACATTTTCAACTTAGGTTATTTGTCTAAGATGAAGAAAATCCGACAAAGCCAGAAGGATAGAACGATATGTGCAAATACCCTTCGAAAGCAACCATCTCTAAAAAATAATAAATAAGCAAGTTTAATTAACTCACAGAAAATGCTAAACTTCAGTAATGCCTAACAACTTTTGTCTCCAAAAGCAACTGAAAAAGGAAGGCAGAAACATCCAGGGTATGTCCTCAAGAACAAAATCAGAGCATCTGCTGTGGCATATTATTGGGAAGCTGAAAGAATTATCTTTTTCTTTTAGGTTGCATCATGTTTGCAAGACTTCCTTCCTAGCCTGCCTTTGAAATAATCTAGTTAAAACATAAGTCAGTTTGGACTTCCAATTTCAGGGCATTTAAGGACTGGTGAAGAAATTTCTATTGCTTTTCCTCGACGTAGCTAACAGCAGAGACAAGAGCGCTAGGATGCAGGGAGGCTCTGTGACTGCAATAATGCAAAGCTCAAAGAAAAGCCATTCCAAGAGCAAACCAGAAGCTTAAAGCAGAGAAGTTATGATGATAGCAGTAAACAATTATTGGAGCTAATCGACAGTATTTCACAGCTGCTTAAAAAAAGAATACCACAACACTGGCTAGCTAAATACCAAATCTAGAATTAATAATGACATTGTGCATTCCAGACAGAATAAGATTCACAGTTGAATTGTATTTTACTGTTAATATCTTACTTTATGTTTATTTCAACACATGAACCCACTCACTGAATGTTATAGACCCAACACTGACTACAAATACCCAGGTAAGTTTGCACAATAAAAAAAATGAAACAGGAGTTTATTTCAGTGCTTGGATCCAAAAGAAATCACCAAGAGCCAGAGAAAGCACTCCCACTCAGATGTACAGAGGAAAACACTTGGGGGTGGGAAGAGAAAGCAAAAACGGGAGGGGTAAAAAGCACTCCTAAGAGCACAAAGTCTGCAAACTGCACAACAGTGACATTACAATTTGTTCATAATTATTACTTGATGCACCATGTGAAACTGTTCACATAGAGCTACATTAAAAAAAGCATCCTGCTACAGATTAATATATTCCATTTCCATAGAAATAGGTCAAAGTTTAGGAAACATACAAAGCTATCGTCTGCTGAATTACATATAGTCAGGATATATCAAGCCATCTTATTACTACCATTAGCTCATTTGAATGACAATCACACCCACAGTCCAGGGGATGATTTCCAGATATACCATCAGGGCTTCTGAGGATTCAGAATCTAAGGCAGCAGCCAACAAACACAGTAGAGGTGAAAGAATATTAGAAGAATATGAAGTCTACTTTCTCCACCAGCAATCTATCCAGCTAAAAAATAAGAACGACTTTGCTTAAGATTTGAATCATCCCAGGCTTTGACAAAGATCTATCATCTATTCATAAATGCTCCCCTTTAAAGAACAGTACATGAGGAATAAAAACCAACTCAAAATTTAAGAGGGCTCTAAAATAGATCTGCACTTTCATCATGCATGGCCATGAAACTGAAATATCTGATAAACACATACCTAATGTGCTGAGACTCGAGAAGAGCATGAGAGTAATCAGCACTTGAAAATAAGCTTTCCAGAAGTGCTCCATTTCAAGGGGATCCAGTAAGTGGCACATCTATATCTGCAACACACACTTGTGCTTTCCCCATCTTCAGACTGTGACACAGAATGCTGGACTTACAGGTAGCAGTCAGATTGACTGTTGTTTTTTTTTTTCCTGGTACTTGGGTTCATGAAGAAACATCAATGTTAACACACTGCCCTACAAATGAAAGCCCTCAGATGGATAGGATGTAAAAGACATGCATGATTGTTTCCTGCTGTGCATGACTTGTGAGAAGTACACACTAAGTCTTCTCAACAACTTGTCTCATTTGAAGCCAAGGTTTAAGCAAAGTTCTTAGTACAACTACAGAACAAAGTTATGCACCTATTCTTCTCTACTACAACTGTGAGTTGTACAGCTTATTACAGGTTATTAGGTGAAAGGGGAAAGACAAACAAAAATAAAATGCACACAAAAACCCTACAACATACCACCAAATAGCATTAGCTTCTCTTCCTGCAGCCTCCAATCTTCGGGAGGCCTGCAAATGGTATGCAAACAAATGTTTCAGAGGATGGAAAAGAAAGCAATAAATATAATCCCTCTCATTGTTCATGTTGCTATGGTATCTGCACAACAAGCCACCCTGTTAAGCACTGTATAAATGAAGATAAAGATGAAGAAAGGTAGGAAAAATATCTATGCTACCACAAAAGACTATCACCCCTTCAGTAAGACATGAGAGGAAAGAAAAAAGGATAATATCAGACAGTATGAAGAACAGTTATTTCAGCACAATACAGCTGCTGCAATTCAGCTTACCTGTTGGTAAGCTTCTGGCAGCACCAATGTTTTAGAAGGGTTTTTAAAGAGGACAATTTGCAGCCTGGGGCCTGCACATCAGATAAATCATAGCACAAAAGAGAAGCATTAAAAGCTTAAGTGAGGTGACAGTGATGGGGAACTGAAGGCAGGAATAAGAATTAAAATATTTTCACAGATGTGACAGGTGAGAGAATAAGAACTCTGAAAACAAGAAATAAACATCTTACATGTAATGTGACAGGATAGATGGAGCTAGTTGATAGAGCCAAGGAAAGAAGCAACGTTGGTCAAACAGAGGAAGTCAAACTTCAAGTAACAGACTGATAAATCTCAGCTGACTGGAGAACCTAGCAACCACCCCAGAGAAAAATGCATTAATGTCACCAAACCAAGGACTATAGATGACACACATGGCTTATCAATATTTCAACTGTGTTTTCTAAAAGACATTAATGAAGAATAAAAAGACAAGACAATGACTTGCTGGCTTCCCAGACAGATCACTCTGAAAGTAATGCCTCCTATTTATTCTCATAGAAAGCATAACAGAGAGAAAGAGCACAATAAGATTATTTGTTAGAGCAAATACTCAGCTACAAAGCTATTTTTCAACAGTTACTACCATTCATTAGGCATTTTCATCAATAATAAGAGCCTGCATGCCATGCTTGGTAAAAAAAACAAAAACAAAAACACACACAACGGTGCCAACAGAGGTGACCCACAGTTTCGCAGCTGCTATTGCTGCTCTGCTGCTGAAACACAACACCCATCACCTCATTGTGCTCACATGCGTTCTGTGTTCTCAACAAACATGCAGCGAGCATTGATCAGCGTCAATGGGTGCAATATTCTCTTCATGGAGGAAGTCAGTGACACACCATGGCTTCACATGTATTTCCATGCCAGGCACCAATTTGGCAGACTGCCCTTCTGCTGCCATCTGTCACACGGCAATAAAGTGTAACAGAACATTGATGGGAAGGTTCAGCCTCTACTGTCATACCACATGTGCCAACCTCTGATGTCACGGACCAATGTAATAAAATAGGAGGCACTACTTTCCAA